ATATATATATATATATATATTATATATATATTTATATATATATATATATATAATATCATCTTAAACTATTCACCGGGCTATCAGAAGGCAGTAAACGCCAATATAGTTCTAATAATGTTCAGTCAAGTATTAGTACCGGGCACAGAAGCCGACCGGACAGTATCAAGAGAGTAGTCAGTGGTTGACGGAGGCGGGACATGGAAATCAACTGTCCTATATAAAACCTATCTGAAGTTGATGAATAAGTGTTTAATAAGCTGGATATCGGAAAACTCTTTGTGTTTGGTGTTGATGCATTTGAAGGGTCACCTCCCTACACTAACGTAAAAACTGCACCGAGATTTCTACAGAGGGGAGCTGTACGCAGGGAGCTGCACATCAGGAATGGTAAGCATAAGCGTAAACGCAGATAAATACCAGGCGATAATTAAATGGTGGGAAATGGCACGGTATGAATTGAAAACTGGATATACACCGATTTGAAACGACGACTAAGAGTGACATCACGGCTGAGGCAGTGGAATTCGCTAAGCATTCAAAAGTGGACAAAGCAGAGGCCATAGAGATATCACGCGTGTGGAGGGCGACTTTAAATACGCTTATTTGAAACGTAGCGCGTGTGGTTACCAGTGAAGTAGCCTGCGTCTAAAATGCGAAGGTCAAGCACACAAAAATCCACCTGACACCCCCCCGCCAACCCACTTGTCCTAGCGCTCAGTAAACAGACATACGTCAACAAAATTTCTCAACAAGGTTCAAGATGAATATTCAATACGTTGCTCTAGACTGAGGGATCGAGAACCCAAATCCAATTCAAACCTAAGGCAATTTCCAACGGAGATCCTTCGTTTTACAGTCACACCTAAAGGTTGTTATTATATGTACGCAGGTCGGCAACCATAAAAGAATATAAACGCTATCAAATCGACCAAAGCTAGAAGGGGGAAATAGGAAGGATGAACTGAAGTCAAGAACGTAGAACGCAGGAACTGGCGCCTCACGCTCGTGAGTTACCACGAACTCTATCAAGTTTGACACACCCAGTCCACAAGACAAACTCAGTTTGTTAACATTCCCCAGGTCCCCTCTTATGTGGACTGGGGGAGAATGTGATGCTCACTCAAATCCCTCAGTGCTGATTACTGACAGTATCTACTCACATAGCTCCGAGTCTGATAGTTTGCACTTATATAAACATAATGGGACAGTCTTTACTCCAACGTCGTCCTATATTTAGCGTTTCGCCACAGAGGAAAAAACAGAAATTAAGATTGGCAATCCTAAATCAGGTACTTGAATATGAGGTCCACCCTCAACCAACGCCTTCGAAATCATCATTGCTCCAAGATAAACGAGCATGGGGAACCAAGTAATCAGGACTAACCTAACGCGGGAGCTATTCATATGACAGTAAGTTACGTCAACAACATAATGGGAAAAATCCATATCACCACCTGTCCTGAAGAAACTACATATTTTTCTTACATATACTACACTTGTTTAACAGGCAAAACAGTTCATTTTGATAACTTGGAGTTTATTTGGGTCCACTCTACTGACGCTAGTGGTTATCCCCAATTTCCCACAAAAAACCGAAGCTTCTTTCCAGCCCACATCGCTCCGAAGAGACCGAACGTTACCGTGGTGAGATGCTCTGTATGTACACTATTAAGCTATAGTGGGGTACGCATAGAGCATCTCCATTCACATTGACCCATTTACAGAAGTTCAACAAACATCCTTCGAGTAGGGGTTTGGAACAAATGTTGCAATCCGCTCCTTTAAAATGGACTGCTTCGGTATCCCCAAATCGACCATCACTAACATCTGGTCAGGCCTTTGGGCCAAAAGCTTCTATGTGGAGCCGGTCTTCCAGCTCATAAAAATACTGAAGGACCGGTGTTCAGCGCTGATTTTGCTGTCGGTGCTGATGAGGACGTCCAACGTACCTCATAACCTTATCTAATGCTACTCACATAATAAATAAAAATCAAAATAGCCATTCAGTTGCGATACTTTTGATGCCCAGTTGTCAAACCACAAGAAGGAAGCTCGAGGACTGAGATGCCATCAGGTTGCACAAGCATGAACAACAGGAGTCGAAATACCGGGTCGAGTTCGAAACACGGACCTTCCGGTCAGTAAGTCCTCGCCTCTACCAATGAGCTATATTAAGCTCGGTGCTGGTCACAAGGCCGTATGCGTATAAGCCATAACAGGTTCCACTAAGAGTTTGCATTTAAACGGTGAATTCGAATCCGGAAATATTTGGCTGGGGATTAGATGTACCTGCCGAACAAGTTTGAAAAGAACAGGTATCATGAGGAAATGAAATGCTACGGAAGAAACTAACCTTGAACAAATGCAGCGATCTCCACTGAAGGACGAAAGGCCAACAAGGCTTCGAACGGCGTCAGTGCAATTGCCAGTTCAGGTTTATGGTTTGGATCCTTATACAAGTCGGGCCTCTGCCGATGCAAAAGCTGCGCGTGCTCCTGTTTAGGACGGAGAAGAGCGAAATTCAAAGTGCAGCAAGTAAAAGGTCGGTAACCATAACAAGACTGAAGTGTCCGACTGCTGCAGGATGACCATAAGTCGAGCAAGCGCAACCATTCGCAACGGAAAACTTTTGCAAGAGTTTGGGATAGATGGGAACCAAGTCTAAGTTGGGGGAAGAAAGAGAATTCAGCTAGAGCACCTGCTTGCGTCAGGCAGGCAGGGGGTAAGCAGCTGAAGTTTTGGCTGGTAGAGTAACTGTACGGAAACCCCGCTATATCATCAGATCATCAGAGACAGTAACAGTAGTCCTTACACCGATGATTCATTATCATATAACCTCATATTTTTTCTAATTAAAGTTCAATCCTAAGAATAAAAAGAGAGAAAGGACCTGAGAATTGCCTGTCACAAGCTCTCTGAGGTTACCATAACTCCAAGAACTTAGTCAACCTGGAACGGAACTCACAATACGAAAGCCATTGTCACCGATTGGCCGCCATTTCCTGTAATTTCTACAGCCAAGCGAAGGGGTCACGAGGAACTCATTCTAGAAGAAATACGACACCGAAAACACATAAACTCGTCGTGATTTTTCCTACAGCATTCTGCCAAGCCGTCAGTTGTCACCCTCGCGGTTTCCGCTGTTCTGAAGGAGACACGGAGAACAACACTCATCTGGGTAGACGGTATATCGCCATGCGTAGCACGTGGCCGAGCCAACGCAGTTGATAGTGCTGGATGTTTTCCGAGATTGAAGTACCAGCTGCATAACTAAATACCCGTTTTCCGAATACCTCCATAGGAATTCGTTGACGCTGTCCGACACCAGCATCGCTGCTGAGGCATCGACGACTAGAAACGCGAAGAGGCCTCATATATTTGTCGGTGCTAGACACACCCCAAAGTATGGTATGATGGCATTCAATCTACTCAACAGAGATTGTTCTGCGCATTCACCCTCACCTTCCAGCGTTCGCCTCATTATTTCATCAATGACGAAGTCCACGAGAATGAAGAGACACAACCTTTTGTAGTAGGTGCACATAGAGATCGGATTTCGCTAACTTCTGATGCATAGCCTGTTGAGCAAGTGTCGTTAACAGCGCTGACGGATCGACAGAATTCGACGCACCTTTTAAGCCAAGGAATACCAAGATTGTGGGTTGTCTGTACGTAAGGCGTTGTTCTAACACCTCGCGGAGGGTGATGATGTGGCCGAAGTTGCCTCTACCCAGTCGAACTCCCGCTTGAATCTCACCAGTCAAGGTTTCGCGTGCCACTGTACAATGTCAAAGAATCAGTGATCTCAGAAGCCTTGTCACAACGGGAGTCACACTAATACCTCTGTGGTTAATACATTCACTGCGAGTACCCTTTCCGAAAATGGGCACTACTATCGATTCACCCCAGTTGTCTGAGACGGCCTCTTTCCCCCAGATCGACCCTAATAGGATAGACAGGCACTGGCTAAGAAACCCACCGCCACCCTTGAAGAGCAGGTGGAAGGTCGTCGGGATCAGCAGCACGATGACCCTTGAGCAGAGAACTACACTCGGACACTTCTGAGACTGAAGTAGGCTCCATACTCATAGTCCATTTTTCTGTTGAAGACCAGGAATCTGGATTGAAGATATCAGGTGGTCTACTGAATTCCTATTCAAAGTACTGTACACAGCGGTCAAAACATTCTGCTTTGCTACATATCTGGGAGTCATTTTGGTCCCTGAGGACCACTCGAACCACTCAAGTGGAACAGCTTGCAGACATTTCCAGCATTCTTGGAATCTTCCATTCCTTCGGTCTTTCAGGTCCACCAAGCTTCTCGGTCTGCATGGACACTGTTTCATCTGGCGTCGAATGATGCATCATGGTTGCGGCCAGGAAGAATCTATCGCCGGGTCTCCAGCAAAGACACAGTCCCAACAGAGATCCAGTGTTTGGATGAGGTTGGTTGGGTTGAACCGCAGACAGAAGTTCCAGCTTTGAGTAGCGCTTTGGATATATTTTTACCGTGGCCGTTTATATCCGACATCGGACCGTCCGACAAGCGTTCGAGGAGCTGGTTCTGATAGCTTCGTTTCATCTCTGGGTTTACTAGCTTCTCAAAGGCTAAACGAGGTGCGTGCGTTATGTGTAGACCTGAAAAGCGCAATGAAAAGCAGCGACTCAAAAGTGCATGGCTGGAGTCCATGTAGGTATTTCAGACGGTGATCGACCCCCGCCGCCGATAACTGACAGCTATGTAGTCCATTTTGATTCGGGGCTGGTTTGTTGATGGGCACCATGTTATCAAGCGATTTCTAATGTTCCGGAAAGTCGCAACGCAAAGGAACAGATTGTGATCGGCACACATCTGAAGTAGACGATTTTCGTTGTCCGTGCCTCTTGTATTCAACCCAAGACGACCACCCAACTGCGCCCTAGCAGCGCTTAGTCTATCTACCTGGGCGCTCATATCTCCAGCAACTATGACATCTGAGCTTCTAGCCCGTTGGGGGGTAAGCGTTCAGCTGTAGCACCCTTCCGGTGCCTAGCTGCCATGCCACCCGAAGGAAGCACGAGGGCTGGGATACTGCCAGGTTGCCCAAGCCTAGACAGGGGAAGTCGAGTGGCGGAGGTCGGATTTGAACCACGGACCTTCCGGTCAGTAGATTCGCGCTCTAACCATTTGGGCCATCTCGCCCAGACGCAGACGCAATAAGCAGTGCGATGGACTTTACTTTCTCCAGATTCTCTCACAGACATTTCCAAACGAACTGTGAAGGAAATAGCAACGGGTATCCAACCAAGCACAGATGTTTTCACTCGATCACTCAATACAATCAGTACCCCCCGGCATCTGCATCTGCATCAACAGAGACGCGCAGCCGGAACCTAGAAGAGAGTGAGGGGGAAGTCAGTTCAATTATAGTACTTGCGTCCTATATCCTTGTTTCTGACAGACGGCATACATCACTGTAGAAGGAATCCAGCGTACGAGCAAGAGCCACCTGTTGTCCCGCTTGCTTCAGTGTGCGAAAATTAAAGGTAGATAAGTAGACCGAGAATAGCCACATCTAGACAAGAGGACGATTAGGATCCTCAACCAAAGCCTTTGACTCACAAGCCTAACGGAAGTGCAGCGGAAGCACACAACCCGTTACGCCACGGCATGGACGTCTCTCTGTGACGGAACATAAGTAATGTAACACACCAATGTAAGGTTTTTTCAACGAACAAGTTCTGTGCCTGTCCAAAACCCTAACCTAGAGGACCTTAAGTCTCTGTCCACTGGCTAAAGTGTTATGAGGAACTCAGAAATGCCAGTATAGCTCAATGGGTCGCAGAGGTACATAAGCCACTAAATACCACGATAAGGCTGCCTCTTTGCAGCGGTTTCACAGTATCGTCAGAGCTAATGCAACTTCTGAGATAAATTTAATGTTTCACAAGTTCTAGTGTTCTTTTTGGAACTGGTAGAGGTATTTTCAGAGACTGTACTGTACTGTAGTACTGTAGTGCAACTACGAACTACAACCATGATGATTTTCAGAGACTGTACATCACAGAGTATGATTCTGCACTTTGCGGGTGCAAAGCACCTAGTCTGGTAACCCCTGCGCTTCTTCCTACTTTTTATAAATCAGAACGATTTAATGTGCCTATTTCGAGTTAGCTTATCGCTCGAGGACATGTGAAAAGTGGGCTTCCGAAGAACCTCCGCAGTTCGCCTCATCCGCTGATCACTGACGAAGTTAAAAATAAACTGGGCATCCCTGTCAGGCACAAGTGCTTGCAAGAGAACTCATGCGCCCACAACCATGTGATCTATTGGTCTACCGCTGACCGGCTAGAATCTACTACACTCTACATCAAAACGTGGACAGACCCTTTAACCTGATAATGGGGTGAACTTACAAGAGGATCTCAGTGCGCTAAGCAACTGGGCCTAGTCAGACTACGCTTTGATGTAAACAGTAGCGAATTCCTCCGTGTGTCATCAACGCCCAGCAACAAATTACCAGGTGCTCTTTACGGCTTTCAAGAGAAAATCTTGAGATATCAGTCACCACGGATCTCCAGCCTGCATACAACGGGGACGTAAGAGATTACACGCTAACATTTGGCAATCTCGCCAGACATTTAAATTCCTGACGTATCCCTGCAGACAGTTGTCCATGACTCGTTCATCTACGTGGCTAAGTTAACCCGCTTCTCAAATATCCCGAGGTCTTTCCTCGTCAAGGTAGTTTGGGCACGAAATTCGTCTTTCAGCTGTAACATCCTTCTGATGCCTAGTTCTCGTGCTACTTGAAGGAAACACGAGGGTTGGGATACTGCCAGGTTGCCCAAACCTAGACAATGGAAGTTGAGAGGCAGAGATCGGGTTCGAACCACAGACCTTCCGGTAAGTAAATTCGCGTTCTAAGCACTGAGCCATCTCGCCCCCGAACTGATACGTAATTTCTCGTCGAAGCAGTTTACACAAAAGACACGATACACCTCCCAACAATGACTGCGTGCACGTTTCTCACAACATCTACTATCAGAGTGATTGGTCTCCCATTGAACTTATTCACGCATAGTATGCTCACTAGGGCACCGATTTCCTTGGTCTGAATAAAAATAGATAGTGGTCCAGATGTAGCGCCCTTTCGGTTCTCATATGCCATGCAGCCCGAAGGAAGCAGGATATCTGAGATACTGCTGAGTTGGCCAAGCCTAGACAGAAGTTAAGATGCAGAGGTAGGACTCGAACCTTGGAGCTTCCACTGAGCTATCTCGAGCTCGCTTCCTCGGTTTACTCCATTATTGCTGCTTACCTGTCTATTTGTTTCTTTTGCTTCTTTTCATCCCATTTTCATTATGGTGAAAAATCATCAGCCAATGGTTTGCTTCCTATTGGTTAGGATTCCCGCGGTCTCTTCCCCGTTAAACTTCGAAGCTGTCAACGGACAAATGTAACAATCACGGACTATGAATTCGCGAATGATATAGTGATCCTTGACCCAGATACCCACGAATCACTTGAGTATACCAGTGCGTTTCTCCTGTGGACTTAGGGCGAGTCCCAAAAAAACGGATGGCTTTTTCAACGCCGGCATTCAGCTTCACTCGTAGTACACACGTTGCGCCATAGAATGTTTGTAAGGATAGATACCTCGGCTTCACAATTCACCTATAAGGCCAAGCTGGGGACAAGGTAATGACCAGCTTGGAGTGTATAATGACAGAAAAGTAAGTTGAAGACCAACGTCCAGAACTGCCAGTTTGCCATCCGCCGTATTTCACTTTATGAATGCCAAGCCTGGCCAGCACATCTCAGATACTTACAAGATGTAGATTTCCGAACACTGACTTCGCCTTCGTCAGTGATAGTGCCGATTATCTAAAAAGGGGCTCGTAGTAAGTGTGGTGACCACAGGGAGATCAGCTTACCCCCGGTTGGAACGACAGCAGTCTCGTGAACAGCGAGCGGGATCCTGGTCTGGTAGGTGCTAAAACAACATCATAAGTACGAACGACTGACAATCTGAGTATTTCTGGATTTCCAAGGCGCATCAAGGAATGTCCTGTAAGTTTATGAACATATGTTCTTTCTAGTCTCAGGCTCCGGACCTGTGACAGCTCTCCAAAAGCTTTTGTACACAAGCCGGTATCCATCAGGGGTGCTCACTCTCTTTATTCCTGTTTAAATTCGTGATCGATGAAGCAATGAAACGAACGTTGGAAGGTCTTCGAAACCCATACTCAAACAGCCTGTGACGAAAACCTTATCGATTAGGAGTATGCAGACAATATCGTTCTCATCTTCGAAGAGAAGAGAGCGCAGATGTCCTCCATAATGTAAGTCATGTGCGTGGACATGCAGTCACAATCCACACATCCAGACACAATCCAGGAGGAGGCGCTCAAAGCTGCGGAGCGTTTTATGTATCTTAAAAGTTCTATTAGTTCTGACTGTAGTGTGACAGATGAGGTCAATGCACGAATCTGCAAGGCTCGGGTCACGTTTGCTAATTTGAGACACCTATGGCGTCAGAGTGGTTTATCCCTAAATCTCAAGGGACGTGTACATAACGCTAGAGTGCGGGCGGCCTTATTTTATGGTTGTGAAACTTCGCCTGTTCGAGCAGAACTGAGACGTCTTCGGGTGTTCGACAATCGATGTCTCAGAACCATACTTCGTGTGGATTGATGTCGGCGAATCCGTAACGAGGCAATTAGAAGGCGAGTTTTCGGTTGTGTAACGGGTACTTCCATTGAGGAATGTACCTAACATCAGAAGCTCCGTTGGTTGGGACATGTGTGGCGCACGCTGAACCCCCGTTTGCTGAGCAGAGTGCTGTTTTCCGTGTCCAATTCAGTGGCGGAAGCAGAGAGGAGATCAACCCTTGACCTGGAGTATGAGAAAGTATGGGAGAGATTACGAAACATTTGGGTAGTGTCGGTGCTACTCGCCTATCAGAATGGGAACCGCGTGGTAACCACCGCGCCTGATTGGAGACGCCACAAGATATGGCTGCATACCGATGACAGTGGTATTCGTGTTGTCAGTTTCTATCCAGATTGCCTGAACGAGTGTCTGGAGGTGTAGGCACCTCAGAGTGATTGTAGTAAGGTAGTACTAAGCCCCTCCTCTGTCTAATTTTATTCTATTATCCACAACAAAGTCTTCAAATAAATCATGGTTGTTGACCAGTGATGTCATACTGTCCATGAGGATGACGGTAGTAGGCTGAAAATCTGTTGAGTCCGGGCTGGATGTTCTAAGGACTGTGCACGGTGCGCACCACTTAAAGCAACACAGGGAGGAGATCCGCGAGAATTTCGCTGCTAACCGTCTCGCCTGGGTAGCTGTGATTTGAGACAACTAGAAGACCACCATATCCTCATGCAGGAAAAAACGGCTCAGCCGTAATGCCCTTTCGGTGCCTAGCTGCCATGCTACCTGAAGGAATCACGAGGACTGGGATAGTGTCGGTTGCCCAAGCCTAGACAGGGGAAGTCAAGAGGCAGAGGTCGGGTTCAAACCACGGACCTTCCGGTCAGTAAATTCGCGATCTAACCACTTCGACCATCTCGCTCCTCATTCATTCACGTGTACCATAAGACAACCTTCGCCAATCGACCACCCCGCTGCATATACCGCACTCTCCGATGCGTCCAGGCCACATTCCCAAGCAAGAGCGGATCGTCACCGACCACCGAAAATCCGTGCAATCGTGCAAAGTAGTATGTGAAGGGGTTGGGTGAAAAGTCTCTGAATCAATTAAATAAGTTAGACAACTTTCTCGAGGTTCAGGCTTGAACCACACATCCAGGACTTCATACAAACACATCGTGGAGGTATACCCGTAAACTGCCGCCTGGTTACCACGCGTCCTTATCTTGGGGAAGCTAGCTGGTAGCCCGGGTATCAATACCTATAAATACTTATCTCTGCACTTATCAACGGATAATCATGTTGATAATGTCGCGGTGGAAAACACTCGTGGTCTGTTGAAGACGTTACTAAAAGTTACTTTGTTTTAATACCACATACCTTTGTTGGGTGTGCCTGAATAGATAACGCTTTCCGAATGGACAAGACTTTGAATAGAAACGGTAGAGACATTCCAAACGCCTCCCTGGATGCAGATCCAAGACACTTTGGATATTCCGAAATATACTTGGAGAGATAGGTCTCCTGTTCTTCTCTTAGAACAGATGGACCGGAAGGATGCGTTCCCATCCACAACTGAGATAAGGGAGTACGTAGGTAAACAACACTAAATTACCTCGGCAAAAGGAGATGATGGATCCAGTTCTAACGTATGACAGCCAGAAACAGCCAGTTGCATAACTTCGCTTTCTTCACCGATCTTACCCCATTCATATGTCTGGACGGCGCAAGAGAGTGAAAGCATTGCGGAAGGCGCTCAACTATGGACCAAGTCGAGACCTCGTACCTGATTGGTCCAAATCGTAATGTGCGCGCTGTAGGAGAGGCAGATCAAAGTGATTCTCTGAAGGATTCACGACAATTTCTGCGAATGAAAAAGCGAAAGTAAGCCCGTGAATCTAAGCCCATGAAGCAAGATCCTTAACCACTAATACGTAAAAATCAGCCAAACTATCCGGAATTGTATTACACAAATCCAACGGCTTCACGGGTCCTCCCTACTGCATACCCCGTTAGCATTCGTCCGCCCCTGGGTGCAGAACCTGTGCGGAATTTGTGCAGAACTTCTGCACTAATTTTCGGCTTTTAAGCCGCGGGAGACTGAGACGTCTATTAGACCACAAAGCTTCTTTATTTGTCTCACAGTAATAAAAAAACACAATACCCTTCATTTCCGGGTCCCTATGAAATGCAAACTATCGACCGATTTAAGTGGTTTTGTTTTTGTGTGCGGCGCCATTGCTCGCCGGAAGATTTGCGTTCTACTTGTCCTCACATGCGGCTGAGAGTGAGTTTTTTGTGCCTTCATATTCTTTATTCCTGGTATGCCCACGTAAACGAAACCGTGGAAAATATTTTTCATTTCAAGTAATCGTCAATGCGCACGAAATACGTTCGTGCTGCCCGTAGAGCTTGTGGCGTTTTGTACCTTTATTTCACTTCCATTATAACACTACGTATTTCACCAATTGCATAATCGTTTTTTGTTTAAATACAAAAAACTACAAAAACGCGCACTTGTACAATTTCACATAATACAAGCGTGGTCACGTACTTCGACTCTCTCTGCTGATTTCGCTCGCGCTTGCAGCGGTCGTTCGCGAGTCTCATGTACTAATTCTGGTACCAAAACATTTCGGACATCTTCGGGATCATTTATATGTGGGAACCGTTCAGAAGTAGACCTCCGGACCAACATAATTGGATTATTGTTTATTCGCTGACCTGGGCCAACGATGAACTATTTTAAAGGGAACAATTGTTAGTGAGTCTGTTCCATGACTTCTTTATTTTTGTATACTCAACCTAGCGTAATTATTTTTATTTCTTTGCCACACACTCCTGGTAAGCTAACTTATTGGGCAGCCAGACCAAGAACAACGCTATATATGAAAGTACTACAGGCGGTTGCGGCAAGGGGCTGTTTTCGTTGCCCGACTGATGAATGCGTCCATAGTGCCTTTAGTTGACTCTCTGTGGGTGAGATTCATAATTAATCAGATGATAGGTTCCGAATATGCCGCATTTTACCGTCCCAGGAGGTAAACTAGGTTGTGACTTTCGGAGCTTTTCGCCGGCGGTTTCCTCGATCCCTGTTTTCAGGACTCCGGGACCAGAAAGACATTCACCAGTGCAGTCCCTGGAGAACCTTTCGGTTCCTGTAAGTCGCTGAAAGGATCAGCCCGTATGTTCTGCTTACAAATGTATTGCTTTTCATCAGTATGCTTGTTGAACCATTCACAACCACACAGAAATATTTTAACGGCTCTTCGTCGGATGGCGCGAAGGCTGCACCTGCCTTTATCCGGTTTAGCCGTTGTGTTGGAGCAACTCAGGTACGTTTTTCCGTCTCTTACGGAGGATCCACGGACCGTATTGAAAACTCTCCGTCGTTCCTGCGTGGGACGGAAGGTCGGTGCAATGTACATCCATCTCGAGTTGAAAGTGAGTTTGCTGCAACAGCTCCGTGATGTCTGACACAGTCGTCGGGTTGACGGATGTCTTGGCGAACGGTGTCTCCGGGGTTTACAATATGCACACCGTTCGTCTTCAGTGCATTATTTTCGACATCCCTGCTAAGGCCTTGGCGAAGCAAGTAAGGGGACATACAGGATATTATGGCTGTGCTAATTGTACGCAAGAGGGTGTGCACATCGTCACACGTTTACGAATGCTTCATGTATTTTTCGGTAGCCACTTTCATAGGCTGTTCACTTTTTTCACGCTATGCTGATTTTTTAATTGACGTTTCCAAGGTTTCTGTTTCAAAATTTGCCGCTATTTTTGGTTCGAGCCATTGAGCCTACAACATACACCTATTCTCCCATTTATTCAATTTCGTCAAGCTTTACGGTTGCTTGGATCGTTATTCCTGTTTTTTCTGTGAATCGAAGCTGAGGCATTTGAAGCATTACCTACATGCGCCAAAACCACCTGTTGACCAGCTTTACCGCCGACTCGCCGAGCGCGTGGGAATGGATGTTGTCGAAAGGAAGATATTTTTGGATGATGTGGGTTTGCGACTGAGGCCATCAGCCACCGTCGGATGTCACAGGTTTGTTCATAGGGATGTCGTTTTTTCGAAAAACTTTCCCGACAACTGCATTTTGTTTGATGGTCGACCAGCTGTCATTGTAGATTTTTTAGAGATACTACTGAATACCAGGCATCCAAAACTGTTCTCCCACTTTACATTTATGTATTGAAATCAACAGACGTTTTTTGTTTTTCAATACTCCGACTTGCAACCCACTCAGCCGTTTGCATCAGTCAACAGAATATCCTCTGAATGCTTAAGTTTCCCTGCAGAGACACTCGTACATACTTCCCCATTTTGCATACCCTCAACGATTAGTCAGTCCTCTTACCACTGGCACTTGGCAAATGCTTGCATTTATTACTTGTATTGCTCATTATTTCGTAAAATAAATATACATATTTATGTTGGTTTGTATTATTCCATCAAAGCTTCCGTTTGCATGTGGATATTCTCCTGTTAAGTGGCGTATTTGGAAGTTGTTTTTCAGCCATGTACTCTATGGTCATTTTTGCGGACATAGTGCACGAATCGTGGTTGGTTCCGGCTGATTCAGTCCTTTGGCCCTCGTGCACAACCAGCATTCTATATGCCAACTTACTGAAGTCGTGCCCGTACGAAGTGTTTCGGCAATGCAATAAGTTCATGATCATTTGAAAATGTTTTGGAAACTTCTTCGGATGTACTGAGGGCTCACTTCCTGCTGCGTCCAGGGGTTCCCTTCCTCCCCGGCGCTCATACTTCATCTGCAGTCCAGGCTCAAACAGTATGTTTATCAATTATATTACGATGGTTGCAGTACAAAGAAACGCCTGCCCGCTGATTTTACAGACGGGTAGATCGTGATTCCAGCGGTGACACCGATTTGTTTGCAAACAAAAAGGCTGTAGGTCCTCCGGCGAATACCAACTTTTCTATTTGTTAGTTATTCGTCTTTAGATGTACCAATCTGACGGCCTTGAATAGCGGTTCAAGGCGTGTCAACCTCCCCTGGTGATGCTCCGATGAGATGTGGAACATACGTTTTATTTCATTACCACCATGTGGAATCTGTCAGCAGTTCCACATATAAAAAACTTCAAGTCGTGGGCAATACAGAGCCACGCAGTTCGACCCCCATCCTCAGGCTTTCTCAATATTCCGTGTACTTTAATTTCTAGAATCAACTCTCAAAATCCAAAGGCCACGTGATTCCCCCGGAACTGGCCAAACACATTCTCAGTGATTAAGTTAACATTGTAACTGTCGAATGGTATCTTCGTAGGACGAGTAATACCAGAACCTCCGGATAGGTAAAACAAAGTCGGAGCTGGGTTTCTATACGGTACAATTAGTGTAAGACAAATTCACAAATTGTACAAACCTCGACAGTAGATACGCGTCCAAAACAAACGGCCCACCTGGACTACAAAAGTACAAGGCAAGGGAGCAAACAGGCTCTCACGTGCGACAGTCACACGTGCAAAGTCAGTTACAAATGGCCGGATGACCTGAAAGCCAAACGGGTGAAGTGGTAAGGACAGACAAACGCCAGTTCATATATACATACTGAACACAAAACAGGGGCGGGGGTTACAGATGGGGACATAATAAACGTGAAAAATTCAATGGTCAACTTAATAGATGATACACCACCCAGCAAATTCTCCACATTGGTTCAGCGAACGCTCAGATCAATTCTAATGTCTTCCATCAGCCACCGACACAAATGGTCCGAGTCCACTCCTGCCACAAGTACCGGCTTCGATGGAGTAGAAAACTAATCGCGTCCCTCTAGTTAACACACCTTTCTAATATCTCTTTTAAGAACGCCGCCCGCCGTTCTAACATGCAGGGTCCTTAGTAAGCCATCTGGGCTCTTCTCACAACTATCCACTTACCCTAGAGGCCATCTCTCACGAGGGAGGTCCTCACCAGAAACGAGAACCAAATCTCCTCGTTCCAATTCTCGAGTCGCTCTGAACCACTTAGTGTGCACCTGAAACGTTGGCAGATATTGCCTTATCCAACGACGACGGAACACGCCGGCGAGGTAAATGACCTGTTTGCAGCCTGTATGATATCGCGGGGCCAAACCGTCGCGACCGGGTACCGCAGGACAGCACCGCATGAGCAACAAACTGTTTTGAGCAAACGGCTCCAACTCATTGCTGATTGGTGAAAGCGGGACTATAGGTCGGTTAGTTAGAATCCGTTCTGCCTGTATAAGGAGTGTGTTCAGCTGTTCATCGCTTAAACACTGTTCCCTGCATAGGCATAAAATGATACGTCGTATTTACCTGATTATACGCTCCAACACACCACCACGGTGACTAACTACTGGTGGATTGAAGTGCCACTGTATATCCATAGTCAAAAAAGCAGTCTGATAATTTACTCTGGATCCACCGCTTTATATCACCCCAAACTTCCTTTAGCGCACCGATGAAATTCCCACCATCATGACTGTAGATATCGGTGGGCTTGCCACGTCTACCAACGGAGCGTATCAAACATTGTAGGAATGAATCGATCGACAGGCTGCCTGCATTTTCAAATGGACTTCTCTAGTCTTGAGACAGCTAAAGATAGAGCCATAGCGTTTTTTCTGCAAACGGCCGCGTTTGGTCTTAAAAGGTCCAAAGCAGTCCACTCCCACTCACTCGAAGGGGAACCAACCCAATCCTACTCTGTCTACCGGTAATGGGGCCATCATTTGTGCACCGAGC